TATTTAAGTTATCTAACACATGCTAGAAAGAAATTTAAATTTTATTTCAAATTGAAAATGAAAATCGTACATAAAGTTTAGTTTACAACATTGTCAATATTTTGAATTGTATATAATTTTGTTATTTTAGGTCAATAAATTTTTTACAATAGGTTAAGAGACCATTTTTTTAATTTCCCTGTAAGATTGTAACAAAAAGTTTAGCTTCGGATAAATATTTTTTTTTAAAATCACCAAAATAGACAGTTCTTTAAAAATCTATATTTTTTCAAAACCTATTAACTTGGTCAAATCAGGTCTAAATAAGGCTTAAGATAGACCAAAATGCGTGTATTTATGTTATCTAACACATGGTAGAAAGAAATTTGAATTTTAGTTCAAATTGAAAATCAAAATCGTACATAAAATTTAGATTACAACATTTTCATTATTTTCAGTTGCAAAAAATTTCGTAATTTTTGGTCAATAAATGTTCCACAATATGAGAAAATAATTCATTATAATTTCTCTCTAAGACTATAAGAAAAAATTAAGCTCTAGATAAATATTTTCTTAAAAAAATAAAAAATAGATAGTTTTTTAAAAATTTATATTTTTTTAAAAATTATTATCTTGGTAAATTCAGGTCCAAAAACGGCTTAAGATAGACCAAAATTCATGTATTTATGTTATCTAACACGTGGTGAAAACAAATTTAATTTTTATTTATTATTCAAAATGAAAATCGTCCAGAAAGTTTAGTTTACAACATTGTCAATATTTTGAATTGTGTATAATTTTGTTATTTCAGGTCAATAAATGTTCCACAATAGGTCAAACGACCTTACTTTAATTTGTCTATAAGATTGTATAATAAAGTTAAGCTTCGGATAAATATTATTAAAAAAAATGAACAAAATATACAGTTTTTTAAAAATCAAAATTTTTAAAAACTTATTAACTCGGTCAAATTAGGTCGAAAAAAGACTTAGGATAGACCAAAATGCGTCTATTTAAGTTCTCTATAAGAATGTGAAAACAAATTACAATTTTATTGAAAATTGAAAATCAAAATCGTCCAAGAAGATAAATTTTCAAAATCTTGTATAAATTAAAACTTTATTAATTTGGTTATATTAGGTCAAAAAAAGGTTCAAATGTAGGTTGAAATGATTGTCTTTAAGTTCACTAACACATGGTAGAAACAAATTTAAATTATATTAAATATTCAAAAACAAAATTGTCCAAAAACTTAACTTTTCAAAATTTTATATTCTCTTAAAACTTCAATAACTTGGTCAAATAAGGTCAAAAAAGTAATTAAGATAGACCAAACTACGCGTATTTAAACTATCTAATACATGTTACAAAATAATTTGATTTTCATTTTAAATTGACAATCAAAATCGTACATAAAGATAAATTTACAAAATCTTGTATTTTCTTAAAACTTTATTAATTTGAGCATAATAGGTCAAAAAAAGTTAAAATATAGGTCAAAATGATTGTCTTTAAGTTGACTAATATATGATAGAAATAAATTTAAATTCCATTAAATATTTACAAAGAAAATTTTTTCAAAACTCAAAAAATTGAATATTAACAAAAAAATTCATTTTTATTTTATTTCAATAATTTTAATTTTTAATAATAAATTTTGAAATTAAAATTTTTTAAATGATATAACAAAAAATTAATTATCTTCTATTCTCTGTTTCTCTAAAAGTGTATCTTTCCCCAACATATCTTAATACTACTTATTCAATAAACACTTTTACGGATTCGGTATTATCGATTCTTCACTAGTATTCCATTTTCTGTGCCTTTTGTATCAATTTTCTTTCTTGCAGATAATGCTTTCTTTTTACAAAAAAGAATTGAATACATTTTCAATAAATTAAAATTTTCAATTTTTTCATCTCCCGGGATTACACTGATCGGAAAAGTATTATTACAAAAATTTTTGTAATCATCATTCGTAGATTCTCATTAGTTCTAGTGAATTGTTTTTATTGGTTCACGGTCTAGAGAATTCTGATGTTGTGAGATTTAGTTTTGCTCAAACACGAGAGAGTGAGATAGAGAGGAAGCTGATCGAAGAAACGTGGTTTGCCTCAGTTTATTTCCCCAGGGTGATAAGAGATTGTTGGAATATTGTAATTTCGTTGCATATCATTGGCAATATACACTTTACCATAATCGTTATCGTAACGTAACGTATTTAACTACATATTTAACGTTCCTTTTACGTTTATTATTCATATCTTTATATATATTCTATATAATATTACATTTTGCATAATTTTATACATTCTATAATTTTACATGGGTTGTATAATTTTTAATATTTTATAATTTTTATGTGTTCTACAATTTTGTATATTCTTCAAAATTCATATGTTCTGTAGTTTTATAAATTTTCGTAGTTTTAATATACTCTGTAATTTTTACACGTTATCAGAGTTGCTACAGGTCAGGGAAATCAGGGAATTCAGGGAAAAGTCAGACATTTTCATTAAAAGTACTGAAAAATATTAAATGTTTAGGATTTATAAGAAAATTTTTTTAAAAATTCTCGTCAACATTTCAATTATTTTTATAAATAACAAAATTCTTCGCCGAAATTTAATTATATTCAGGAATTTTTATAAAATTCATTGTAAAATTTGATTATATTTAAAAGTATAACAATATTCATAACAAGAATTCAATTATTTTCAAAAAATCTAAAAAAAACTTGTCGTCAACAGTTCAATTATCTTTATAAACGAATAGCAAGATTCTTTGACAAAATTCAATTATTTTCATAAATTTTAATAACATTCATTGTAAAATTCAATTATTTTCATAAATAATAGTATTCATCACAAGAATTCAATTATTTTCAAAAGTATAATAAACTTTTGAAATTACTTTCAAAAGAAATAAAATTCAATTATTTTCAACAAATTCTCTTAATTCAATGATTTTTAATTTAAGTTATTTAACACATGGTAGAAAGAAATTTGAATTTTATTTCAAATTGAAAATCAGAATCGTACATAAAGTTTAGTTTACAACATTGTCAATATTTTAAATTGTATATAATTTTGTTATTTTAGGTCAATAAATGTTCTATAATAGGTCAATAGACCTTACTTTAGTTTGTCTGTAAGATAGTATAATAAAGTTATGCTTCTGATAAATATTTTGAAAAAAATTAACAAAATAGACACTTTTTTAAAAATCTATATTTTTTCAAAACTTATTAACTTGGTAAAATCAGGTCCAAAAATGGATTAAGTTAGACCAAAATTTGTGCATTTAAGTTATCTAACACATAGTAAAAAGAAATTTAAATTTTATTTCAAATTGAAAATCAGAATCGTACATAAAGTTTAGTTAACAACATTGTCAATATTTTAAATTGGATATATTTTTGTTATTTTAGGTCAATAAATGTTCTATAATAGGTCAAAAGACCTTACTTTAGTTTGTCTGTAAGATATTATAATAAAGTTATGATTCTGATAAATATTTTGAAAAAAATTAACAAAATAGACACTTTTTTAAAAATCTATATTTTTTCAAAACTTATTAACTTGGTAAAATCAGGTCCAAAAATGGATTAAGTTAGACCAAAATTTGTGCATTTAAGTTATCTAACACATAGTAAAAATAAATTTGAATTTTATTTCCCATTAAAAATCAGAATCGTACATAAAGTTTAGTTAACAACATTGTCAATATTTTAAATTGGATATATTTTTGTTATTTTAGGTCAATAAATGTTCTATAACAGGTCAAAAGACCTTACTTTAATTTGTCTGTAAGATAGTATAATAAAGTTATGCTTCTGATAAATATTTTGAAAAAAATTAACAAAATAGACAGTTTTTTAAAAATCTATATTTTTTCAAAACTTATTAACTTGGTCCAATCAGGTCCATAAATAGCTTAAGATAGACCAAAATGTGTGTATTTATGTTATCTGACACATGCTACAAAGAAATTTGAATTTTGTTAACTATTCAAAATGAAAATTGTCCATAAAGTTTAAATTACAACATTGTCAATATTTTGAATTGTATATAATTTGGTTATTTTAGGTCAATAAATGTTCTACAATAGTTTAAAAGACCTAACTTTAATTTGTCTATAAGATTGTATAATAGAGTTAAGCTTTGGATAAATATTTTGAAAAAAAATTAACAAAATAAACAGTTTTTTAAAAATCTATATTTTTTCAAAACTTATTAACTAGGTCAAATTAGGTCAAAAAAAGACTTAAGATGGACCAAAATTCATGTATTTAAGTTATCTAACACATGGTAGAAAGAAATTTGTATTTTATTTCAAATTGAAAATCAAAATCGTATATAAAGAAAAATTTACAATTTCTTGAATTTTTTAAAATCTTTTTCAATTTGGGCATAATAGGTCTAACAAGTTTAAATGTATCTCAAAATGATTGTCTTTAAGTTGACTAACATATGTTAACAACAAATTTAACTTCTAATAAATATTTACAAACAAAATCATCCAAAAACTCAACTTTTCAAAATACAATATTTTCCTAAAATTTCAATAACTTGGGCGTATTAGGTAAAAAAGTTTTAACTATAGGTCAAAATACATGCTATGATATTCTGTTACACATAGTAGAAAAAAATAAAAATTTTATTTATTATTAAAAATGAAAATCGTCCATAAAGTTTAGCTTACAATATTTTAAATATTTTTAATTGTATATAATATCGTTATTTTAGGTCAATAAATATTCTACAATAAGTCAAAGTAGGTTATTTTGATTTTTCTCTAAGTTCATAAGAAATTTTGTCTGGAAATCAGGAAAAAGTCAGGGAAAAACAAAATTAAATATTTGTGGAAACTCTGGGTTATGTAGTTTTATATATTTTATAATTTTTACATGTTCTAGTTTTATACATTCTTTAATTTTATACATTCATTAAATTGTTAATATTTTTAGGTCAAGTGAATTCTTTAATTTTTGACATTTATTAAATTGTTAATATTTTCAGGTCAAGTGGATGAATGTGTTTGATACGAATCCTAACATTCTCTTTCATTTTCATCTACTATCTTGTTTATTTACTGCAAAGGGTCGAGGTTGATCCTAAATTTTTCATCCTCAGTCAACAGAAGAGAGTGCAAAGAGCAGAAGTGAAAGAAGTTTTCAATTTTTTCAATCACTTTCATATTTTGGAAAAGGTAAGAATCATTTAATATTGTAATTTTAGAATTAGATTGTCCACGCCTCCTAATTTCAAGTTTGCAAGAATTAAATATTTCCCATAATCAAAAAATTTTTTGAAGTTTACAACAGTAAAAATTAAAAAAAAAAAAAAATAATAATTCAGGACAAAAGTTTAAGCCTCACCCAAAGTCCAGATTTGGGTGTAGTCGAAAAATGCAAATCACGTTTTATCGGCAGGTCTGTTTTAGAAGAAATTTCCAAACTACAATTTAAGAGTAATTGAATTAGTGCTAATTTCATTTCAATCATTGCCATTCTTCTGCCAACACACATACGTGGACCTTGACCAAATGGTAAAAAGGTGAATTTTGATGATCTTTTCTCTTTTTCCCGTTCGCTGAATCGTTCGGGATCAAACATCTCTGGATTTGGCCAATATTTTGGATCCATGTGCAATCCGTAGAGGGATATTAGGACAATGACACCGGGACTAATTTTACAAGATAAGCCATCTTTTGCGGAAATTTCACATTCCTCAATGCATCTTTTTGATAATAGCGGTATTGTTGCATTCATTCTTAATGATTCGTATAAAACTTGTTCCATATAATTAAGATCGTTGAGTAATTCGTAACACAGTTGATTATCATATTTTTGGAGATTCACAACTATTTCCTGGCGGACTTTGTCCTGAATTTTTGGATACAAGGCTAATTGAAGACAGAGGAAACTTAAACTAATACTTGCTGATTCATAGGCGTCGAGTAGAAAACCCTCCATGTAGATTAGGAGATTTTTTTCGTTTATTTTACAATCGCCGTGGGTTTTTTGATGTTCTATCATCATTTGCAGAAAGTCGTCATAATGTTCTTGGCTATTTCTCTTTTTCAGCACGTCTACAAAAAGGGTTTTGTAAATTAAAAAAAAAACATCGAATTATTAACGGAGGATTAATGATTGGAGAATAATTGGAGAATTAATATTATTAATATTAGAAATTAAGATTAATAGGAGTTAGTGAATAAATATTTGTTGCTTCTTACCCTTAATGCTGTCGCGAAAAAATAATTCCAATTTCTTCGGTACTCGACGAATTCTCAATAATTTCGCCAGACCCGGCGAATAGAACGACAGCATTTCTTTAGTTCTAGCCAAAATTGATGAACCAAACATCACAGATATGATTCTTTCGAAATTATCATCACTCTCAAAGCAATGACCCTCCAAACCAAATCCAACATGTGCCACAAATTCTCCTGTATATCGATTCCAAAATTCCACCAATTCCACTTCTTTTCCCCTCCTATCAATCTGAGTAACCAAAAATTTCCTCAACTTAAAAGACACATCTCTTGTCGATAAAAAAAGTGATTTTAATTTACTACTCGAAAATCCAGTCGTCATTACTGATCGCACAATCTTCCAATCCTCCATTCGAGCAAAAAACGGATTCTTACTCATCGACGGATCCAAATGAGGATCCAGTAAAATTTGATTTTCACCAAAATTCGAAAAATTCGTGACAAGAATTAATTTTGCTAATTCAGAATCACGAATAAGTAATGTTGGTGTTTTAAATTGATAAAATCCCACCATACTTGAATTTTCATATTTCTGATAGATTCTCTCGCATAATGTTGGAAAACTTTCCTTTAATGACACCAAGGACCACATGTGACCGAAAACTGGAATTATTCCTGGAACACATGGTATTCCTCTAGTTCGCCAATAGTTGTATTTTGAATGAAAATAGAAATAGACGAAAATTACTAGTGGAAAGAGAGAAGAAAATATGAAAATTATTGTCATACTGCATATAGATTTAAATTTATACTAAACAAAATTTTTGCTCTTTGCCTTTAAGCGATACGTTATCATTTGTAAAACACTTAAATTTCAAACTGAATTAAACACATATCAGAGTGTTGTGTTTATATTGTACTATCAATCTTTTTTTTATTATTGTTCGTCAAATAAGGTTTTGTGCAAAAAAAAAAATAATAATCATAATTTTTCTTTACAATAGTAAAAAAAATTTAATTTATATTGTATCTACTATTAATGAATATAAACATACTGGCAAATATACTATTAATATTAATATTTATATTAATATTGCGCGGAACTTGATATTTAATTTATTATTATTATGCAAATAACAAAATTTTTTATTTTCAAATATGAATTTTTGAATAATTTCAGACTCAAACTTAAAAAAAAATTCAATTATTAACTAATTTACTAATTAATTATTCTTGTTTATTAATTTCAAAAATTTTAATAAAATTCTTCACAGGAATTCAATTATTTTTATAAATAATAACATTTTTTGTAAGAATTCAATTATTTTTATAAATAGTAAAATTTTTGGAAAAAAATTATTTTTAAACAAAATTTTGATAAAATTTTACGAAGAATTACAATTATTTTCTGAAAATTTTAATAAATCCTTCGAAACAATTCAATTATTTTTTTAAATAGTAAAATCTTTGCAAAAATCCAATTATTTTTAAGAAAATTTGACGAAAGAATACAATTTTTTCTTAATTCGTTATAAAATCTTTGCAAAAATTAAATTATTTTCAAAAAAATTCCACGAAAAAATTCAATTTTTTTCTTATTCGTTATAAAATATTTCACAAGAATTCAATTATTTTCTAAAATTTTAAAAAATTCTTAGAAACAATTCATTTTTATTTATAAATAGTAAAATTCTTTGCAAAAAGTGTATTATTTTTAGAAAAATTTCACGAAAGAACTGACAATTTTTTCTTAATTCGTTATAAAATCATTGCGAAAATTCAATTATATTAAAAAAAATTTCACGAAAGAATTAAATTTCTTTCTTAATTCGTTATAAAAAATTTCAATAGAATTCAATTATTTTCTAAAATTTTAATAAATTATTCGAAAAAATTCAATTATTTTTAACACAATTTTAATAAAACTTTATGAAAGAATTTAATTTTTTTTCAATTTTTAATAATATTTTTCGAAAAAATTCAATTATTTTCTAAAACTCTAATAAATCCTTCGATTCAATTAAATTATATTTATCAATAGTGAGAAAATTCTTTGCAAAAATTTAATTATTTTCAAACAAATTCTACGAAAGAATTCAATTTTTTCATAATTCGTTATAAAATCTTTGCACAGATTCAATTATTTTCTAAAATTGTAATAAATTCTTCGAAAAAATTCAATTATTTTTAACAAAATTTTGATAAAATTTCATAAAAGAATTAAATTTTTTCAAAATGTTTAATATTATTTTTCGAAAAAATTCAATTATTTTCTAAAATTTTAATAAACCCTTTGAAGCATTTCAATTATATTTATAAATAGTAAAAATCTTTGCAAAAATTCAATTATTTTTTAAAATTTTAATAAATTCTTCGAAAATATTTAATTATTTTTAACAAAATTTTAATAAAATTTCATTAAAGAATTCAATTTTTTTGGTATTTTTTATTATTATTTTTTGAAAAAATTCAATTATTTTCTAAAATTGTAATAAATCCTTGGAATGAATTCAATTATATTTATAAATAGTAAAATTCTCTGCAAAAATTCAATTATTTTCAAAAAAATTATACAAAAGAATTCAATTATTATTTTCTTAATTCGTTATAAAAAGTTTCAATAGAATTTAATTATATTCTAAAATTTTAATAAATTCTTCGAAAAAATTCAATTGTTTATAACACAATTTTAATAAAATTTCATAAAAGAATCCAATTTTTTTAAATGTTTAAATAATATTTTCGAAAAAATTCAATTATTTTCTAAAATTTTAAAAATTCCTTTGAAACAATTCAATTATATTGATAAATAGTAAAATTCTTTGCAAAAAGTCAATTATTTTTAAGAAAATTCCACGAAACAATTCAATTTTTTTTCTCAATTCGTTATGAAATTTAAAAAAAAATTTAATTACTTTCTAAAATTATAATATAATTCAATAATTGAATGTTTAATTTCAATTTTTATCAAACACCATTACTTTAAAAACTTGAAAGAAATTGTTCATAAAATCAAATTATTTTCAAAATTTTTTTTAAAATTATTAAAGAAACTCCATTATTTAAAAAGAAATTCAAAGAATTTCTTCAAAAACACTTTAATTAGAATTTTCAAAAATTTCAACAAAATTCTTTTCGAGAATTCAATTTTTTTCCCAAATAATAAAATTCTTTGAAGAATTTCTATTATTATCAAATTTGTTGATAACATTCTTTTCATCAATCCGATGATTTTGAATACATTAATTTAAAAACTTAAAATATTTAAAAAGAAAAAGTATTAAAAATGTTATGAAACAAAAATTCAACGAAAAATCCCACCATTGATTCTTGATAGTTTGTTGTAAATTTTTTCCAGAGAAGGAAAACTTTTTTTCATTGTCAAGATGGACGACATGTGTTCCAATATTGGAATCATTGCAAGAACACATGGTATTTTCATTCTTCGACAATACCCCAAAATCTTTTTCTTCCATTTATGAAAACAAATTCAACAAACTTATCATGAAAAAGTTGATAAATTGTTTGACAAATCGCAAGTAAATATTTTTTTTTCTTTAATTGTGTTGCTATTGAGAAATCCCACCGCTGCCACCAATATTGAACATTACTAAGAAAAACATTTTGCACCATTAATAGAAATATTTAATTAGTCCTTAATATCGCAGAAAATTAAGAGATTACCAATATCGCACTTGAAAAAGTAAAAGAAAGAAAAAAGAAAAAAATCTTGTCAATATTTTCACACAAAATAAACTTTCCTGATAAATATATTCTAAACTGACATTTCTCTTTAAAAATCCGCTTCACGAACAAGTGACAAACAAGTTTGAAACTGAAAAAATCCAACCATAGGTAGTTGAATTTTTGTCTGTTCTGTTCTGTACAAATTCTCGTTAAAGACTTTTGGAAAACTTTGTCTGAGAGGATAAAACTGACCACATGTGACCAAATAGTGGTATTTGTCCTTGTGCTGCAGGGGTATTTTTCTTTTCCTCAAAAATCCTGGTTTAATATTGTTAGAAATTCTGGTTTCAAGTTATAGTTCGAAACAAAATACCTAGAAAATTACAGAACTCGTATTAAAAAAAAAATGAAAAACAAAATAATGTAAAAGTAGAGAAATAAATAGAAAAAAGAGGAAAAAGAAATTCTCAATTCACGATATATGTACAATGAAGACTGTATCAGAAATTTTTTGTAAACAACTTTATAGGTTTCTTGTCGAAAAAAGAGCGATAAAACTATATTTTATTTGCCAATATATTATATATGAAACGGGGAAATGTTTTCCATTCGAGATATTAGACAAAATTGTGAAAAGTAGAAATAAAAATTTTTAAAATGATTAAATTTTTGTAAATTCAAGAAATGCATGTAAAATATATGTATTATATTTCAGTTTTTCAATTTTCTTTTTATGTTCTTATTTTTTTTTTTCATTTTTAGAAAGTGGTAAAATTTTTCTTGAAAGTATCATAGAAATGGAATTACAATACAATTAAAATATACAAGGGTGTGAACGTATGTCTTTATGCTAATGTGAGACATTGAATATGACATCCCTACGAGGTTCACTTCACAAGGTTCACAAAATCGTTATACCATCACAGGAAATCCTGCTTCCTTTTAACAATACTTTTAAAACTGAATTTTACGATTCAATTAGAATTACAGATTTTTTGTTGATCTTTACTAAAATAAACTTAATATTGAAAAATTTTACTTTTTTTTAAACATGAATAAATTTGATATCTTGGGTTAAAAAAAAGGACTTGTCTTTTGAAATAGGTCTAAATAAGTGTCTTGATGTTTTATAAAACATAACAGAAAGAAAACAATAGATCAAAATGTGTGTCCTAAAAATCACTAAAACATAGTGGAAATAATTTAAAATTTTAATAAATATTAAACATCAAAATCATTCTAAAAGATAAATTTTCAAAATATTGTATAAATTAAAACTTTATTAATTTAGGGATATTAGGTCAAAAACGGCTCAAATATAGGTCAAAATACATGTTTTTAAGTTCTCTAAAACAGGAAGAAAAAAAAATTAATTTTTTAATGGAAATTGACAACCAAAATCGTCCAAAAAGATAAATTTTCAAAATCCTGTATAAATTAAAACTTTATTACTTTCGGCAGATTAGGTCCAAAAAGGCTCAATTATAGTTCTAAATACGTGTTTTTCAGTTCTCTAAAACAGGGTGGAAGCAAATATAAATTTTACTAGAAATTGAAAATCAAAATCGTCCCAAACGATAAATTTTCAAAATTCTAAATAAATTAAAACTTCATTAATTTGAGCAGATTAGGTCTAAAAAGGCTCAATTTTAGGTCAAAATACGTGTCCTCAGATTCTCTGAAGCAGGAAGGAAACAATTAAAAATGTTATGGAAAACTGAAAATCAAAATCGTCCAAAAAGATGAATTTTTAAAATCTTCTATAAATAAAAAATTTATTAATTTGGACAGATTAGGATCACAAAAGCTCAACTAAAATTCTTAATACGTGTTTTTAAGTTCCCTAAAACAGAGTTGAAGTAAATTTAATTTTTATTACAAATTGAAAATGAAAATCGTCCAAAAAGATGAATTTTCAAAATCCTGTATAAATTAAAACTTTATTACTTTGGGCATATTAGGTCCAAAAAGGCTTAATTATAGTTCTAAATACGTGTTTTTTCAGTTCCCTAAAACAGGGTGGAAGCAAATATGAATTTTATTTGAAATTGAAAATCAAAATCGTCCCAAAAGATAAATTTTTAAAATTCTAAATAAATTAAAACTTCATTAATTTGGGCAGATTAGGTCTAAAAAGGCTCAATTTTAGGTCAAAATACGTGTATTTAGATTCTCTGAAACAGGGAGGAAACAATTTTAAATTTTATGGAAAACTGAAAATCAAATTTGCTAAAAAAGATGAATTTTTAAAATCTTCTATAAATAAAAACTTAATTAATTTGGACAAATTAGGTCCACAAAAAACTAAAGTTCTAAATAGGTGTTTTTAAGTTCCCTAAAACGCTGAGTTGAAGCAAATTTAAATTTTATTAGAAATTGAAAATGAAAATCGTCAAAAAACATTAAATTTCAAAATCCTAAATAAATTAAAACTTCATTAACTTAGGCAGATTAGGTTTAAAAAGACACAACTATAAGTCAAAAAACATAGTTTTAGGTTCTCTAAAACAGGGTGTAAATAAGTTAAAATTTTTTTGAGAATTAAAAATAAAAATCGTCCAAAAACATTAAATTTCAAAATCCAGTATAAATTGAAATTATATTATTTTGGGCATATTACGACCAAGAAGGCTCTATTATAGATAAAATTACGTGTTTTTAAGTTCTCTAAAACGGGGTGGAGACAAATTTAAATTTTATTAGAAATTGAAAATGAAAATCGTCCAAAAACATTAAATTTTAAAATCCTGAATAAATTAAAACTTCATTCATTTGGGCAGATTAGGTCTAAAAAGGCTCAACTTTAGGTCAAAATAAGTGTCTTCAGATTCTCTAAAACTGGATGGAAACAATTTAAAATTTTATTAGAAATTGGAAATCAAAATCGTCCAAAAAGATAAGTTTTCAAAAACGTGTATAAATTAAAAGTTTATTATTTTGGGCTTATTAGGTCCAAAAAGTCTGTATTATATGTTAAAATACATATTTTTTAGTTCTACAAAACAGGATGGAAACAAATTGAAATTTTATTAGAAATTGAAAATGAAAATCGTTCAAAAACATTAAATTTCAAAATCCAGTATTAATTGAAATTATATTATTTTGGGCATATTACGTCCAAGAAGGCTCTATTATAGATAAGAATACGTGTTTTTTAGTTCTCCAAAACAGGATAGAAACAAATTGAAGTTTTATTAGAAATTGAAAATGAAAATCGTCCAAAAACATTAAATTTCAAAATCCTGAATAAATTAAAACTTTATTAATTTTGGCAGATTAGGTCTAAAAAGGCTCAACTTTAGGTCAAAATAAGTGTCTTCAGATTTTCTATAGCAGGATAGAAAGAATTTAAATTTTTATTTTTACATAATAATGATTTTCAATTATTTTTAGTTACTAAAGACTTCATAATAGGTCGAAATTTGTGTAGTAAAATATGTATGTCAATATGTATATATATATATATTTTTTAATGAGGGGCTCTAATAAATTTTGAAAATTGTGTATTTATTTAGACATATTTTGAATCTAATGCAATAGATTTTATACTAATTCGGGATTTAGTTATCAAATCTAAAACGTAGTACGAAAGCATTATTATCAATTTATTAGATAATTTATATGTAATTTTGTTAAATATGCGCAAAATAGATATGCTGACGATGGCAAGAAAGCAATTATTTTCAAAAATAATAAATTCCAATATGTCTCGTGCGCATTAATTTTAGTTTCTAAAAATAAAAAAAGTGCAGATTTTTCTTGCTTATCAAAAATTAAACACTGTAAATAAAAACAAATCTTTGTTTATTCATTTTTAAATATTTTTATCGTTACAGTTGTTTCCTTGGTTATGGAGACTGAACGAAGCCGACGCCAAGATTTTATCACCAGGAAAATTTTTCACTGCTTTGATAAGAATACCAATTTTAGGTAAAAAAAAACAATTTTTTTAACTTAAAATAATTATATTTCGAATATTTTCTTTTCTTATTAATTACTTGGAATTTTTATAAATAAACCAAATTCTCCAATGATAATAATTTTTAATTAAAAATTGATAAATTAAAATTAATAAATTAAATTAATAATTAAAAATTAAATAAATTAGTAAATTCTGAATAAAAAATTGTAAATAAAGATAGGTGATAATAAAATTTTTTTATTACAGGAGAAAAAAGAATATTTTTCACTGTGACAAATTATGAACCACCAAAATATTTTGCAATCGAGTCAAAGGATAATTTTTTTAAATATCGAATAGAGATTCGTCTAAAGAGAGAAGAAAATAGTCTTCTGTTTGAAACCAGTGTGTTTTGCAATAAATCTCTAGCTTTGTTTCAAGTAAGTATTTTTCTTTGCCTTTCTAAAAAAAAAAAAATGGAGAAAAAAATTATTTTTCAGAATAAAAGTGGTTTTTTTCTAAAAGGGAAAAAAATTAGAGCAGCTGAAAATTGACCTTTTCTCGGGTTAAAAATTCAGGTTCATTGAACCGAGACAGATCACTAGATGAGCATTCTGAATTAGTACTCCCTCGTGAGAGGAGATATATTTGCTTCACGATCATTTACTTGCAGTCCGCGAAGATTGGGGAAGACTCTCCCCCACCACTCTTTCTCTCTCTCTCTCTCTTTCCCTATTGGATTCAGGCATCCTGAAGGGTGGGGGGTAGAACAAGACGAAGTAGAAGAAGTACCCTATTATCTCAACTATTTCCCTTAACTCTAGGGACCCCTCTCACAAGTTTCGATCTTTACAACTCTGAGCTTACAGAAAAGGAGGATCAGAATCCATTCTTACAGTCGCACGTGTCCTTCGCTGATTTAACAAAAGATGTTCGCAAGCCCCATGGAAAATCCTTCTTGCGTAATACCCCAAGAAGATTTGGGTCTTCATACAACTCTCACCTGGTTCTTCATTTTGGCGGGAAAATAACATTAAATGCGAATCATACAAAGAAATTCGATTTTTTTTCTTCTATTCACTAATTTTTAAATTGTGTTAAAGTCGAAAAATATGGTAGAATAGTAGAAAAAAATTTAGAATTTATGTTAAATGATCACTGACATCTCAGCTTTAATTTGAGACCAAAAACGTAAAAAAATATTAACAAGATCTGAAGATAACATGATAAATGTTAAAGAATATTTTTTGCGACATTTTTTAAAAATTGATGCTTGGACATTTTTTACGATATTTCAAAAACGTCTTCAAATTTTTTATTGTTCTTGGTCTTGAATTAAAGGTTGTAAAATCCTGCAACCATTGATCTATTATGAAACATTTTTCGAACGTTTTAAGAAAAAATACCCTTCGAAAAGTTTGAATAAAAAATTAAGTAATTTTTCACTTTTCGTGCACAAAGTTTGTTGTAAGACTGTTTCGAAACAAAGTCGTAGCTCCAGTTTATTATTCATGGTTAATATTCAGTATAATGTCAGCTGTCATTAGAGACCTTGAACGTAGAAAAATACTAGTCTGATCCCAAGATATCATGAAAAATGTTTAAGTATATTTTTTTAATATTTTTCAAAAATTGATACTCAGACATTTTTTTTGATATTTCAGAAAATTGTAGACATTTTTTCAAGTTCTTGGTCTTGAATTAAAGGTTGTTAATTTCCGCAACTAATGACCTGTTATGAAACTTTTTTCGAGGGTTTTAAGAAAAAATACCATTCGTATAATCTGAGTAAGAAATTGAGTGATTTTTCACTTTTCGTGCTCAAAGTTTCTTGTATGATTATTTCAAAATAAAATCATAGGTCAAGTTTATTATTTATAGTTAATATTCAGTAAAATGTCAGCTTTCATTAGAGACCTTGAACGTAAAAAAATACTAGCCTGATCCCAAGATATCATAACAAATATTTAAGGATATTTTTTTGATATTTTTCAAAAATTGATGCTTGGACATTTTTTACGATATTTCAAAAACGTCTCCAAATTTTTTAATGTTCTTGGTCTTGAATTAAAGGTTGTAAAGTCCTGCAACCAATGATATATTATGAAACACTTTTTGAGCGTTTTAAGAAAAAATACCATTCGTAAAGTCTGAATAAGAAATTGAGTGATTTTTCACTTTTCGTGCAGAAAGTTTGTTACATGATTATTTCAAAATAAAATTATAGATCAAGTTTATTATTTATAGTTAATATTCAGTAAAATGTCAGTTTTCATTAGAGACCTTGAACATAAAAAAATACTACCGTGATCCCAAGATATCATGAAATATGTTTTAGGATATTTTTTGCCATATTTTTCAAAAATTGAGACTTGGACATTTTTTTTTATATTTCAGAAACGTGCCAATATTTTTTAATGTTTTGGGTCTTAAATTAAAGGTTGTAAAATTCTGCAACTAATGACCTATCATAAAAGATTTTTTGAATGTTTTGACAAAAAAATATCATTCGAAAAGTTTGAATAAAAAATTGAGTAATTTTTCACTTTTTGTGCAAAAAGTTTGCTTGTTGGATTTTTCGAAATAAAATCGTAGGTCAAGTTTATTAGTTACAGTTAATATTCAGTGAAATATCAGCTTTAATTTGAGACTAAGGGGAGGAAAAAAAATTCACGGGTTCCCAAGATATTACAAAACATATCCAATCATGTTTTTTTCGATAGTTTCAGAAAATTAAGGTATTGACATTTTTAGCGATATTTCAGAAACGCATGATTATTTTTTTATCATCTTGGTCTTAAGTAAAAATCTAAGAAATTCCGCTTCTTATAACCTATCACAAAAGGCTTTTTGAGCCTATTTCGAAAAAATATCGACTATTAATTTTTCGTAGTCAATTAGGCAATTTTTCTCCTTTTGTGCAAATAATTTGATGTTCGTCAATTTCTGGATAAACTTGTTGGTAAAATCTACAATTAATGGTAAATTATCAGTAAAATCTCAGCTTTAATTTAAGACCAAAAAAAGGAAAAAATATTTACGGGTTCCGAAGTTATTACAAAAAATATCCAATCATGTTTTTTGGAGTGGTTTCAAAAAATTACGGACTTGACATTTTTTAGTAATATTTCGTAAACCCATGAATATTTTTTTATCTTTCTAGTCTTAAATTAAAGATTGCAAAGTTCTGCGTGTAATAGCCTATTATACATGATTTTTTAATGTTTTAACAATTTTTTTTTTGAAAAGTTTACAATAAGTTGTAAGTTAATCCTTTTTTCATTAAAGTAGGTCGAATGGCTTTCGTTCCTATTTCTTTCCTTTTTTTATATCTTTTTTCTCGCTCTTTAAGGTTTATAGCCAACTGAGGGTTTGTCAAATTCATTGATCACTGTAACTTTTTCTAGCTCTAGTGACCCCGACAAAGATCCCTTGTCCCGTCAAACATTCAATGCACTCTTTATAAGGACAGCTGTCTTCTGATATCTGTTTGGTGAAGGAATCTTTTGTCGCGTGCCACACGTCATATGGTATATACATGCTTCTTATAGGATATTTTACGACAATCTTTTTGTTCTTTCTTCCACTCCATTTCTTGCTGGCAAGATATTTTCCTTAATAGTATTTTTATGAAAAGAAAACTGTAGAGCAGGATGATATCAAAAATGGTTGTTTCATCATTTTTTTTTCAAATTAGCATAAATTTTCTTATTGTTATTAATTTAATAGCCGATAATATTATCAGTTACTATCATACGATAATAAAAATTATTATTCGTTATAATAATTAATCAGTAAAACGAATAATTTTTTATATTGAAAATTGCGAAAATATTAATTTACCAAAAGAGAAATTGCATCTATTGCACTTGCTAATTGACTATTTTCTGAGATACTTAAATTTATAAGTAGAAATAGACATCTTTGGTACTGCCGTTAGAGGAAGAGTGGGGGCGCCCCCCACTCCTGGCTCCCGCGCCGATTATTTCTTTAATTTAAAATTGAAATAACAGGAAAAATTAATAACCATTTTAAAAATGAAAAAAGGTATTTCTTGTTTATTTATCAAGACTAAATAAAAACCAGAAAAAAATTTTTTAAATTGACAAAAAAATAAAATTAAAAATTAATAAAAAAATGTTTAAAAAAAAAATTTTACCTGCTAACCTTTCGCTTAAAATTGCTAATTAACTTAAATGTCTCTTAAAATAAAAAAATATAAAAACAAAATTGGAAAATATTGTTTATAATATTTATTTAATTTAATTAAAAAAACATTTTTGCTCTGTTTGCAGTACACCGTGGGAAATATTATATTTTACCTAACCAAAAATCATCTCGAACAGTCTGTTAAAAATGTAATTCAACTGTACGAGGAAATTAATCAATTAGAAATTACTCAATTGTAAAAATATTTTTAAAATAAAAAAAATAATTACTACAAAAATTGAGAAAACTAAAAAAAATTTCATGCATGAAAAATAATCGATTACTGTTTAACTGTGTTTAACTACGAAGACAACTTCATTATTTACTTGTCATTAACATTAATAAAAAAAAATAAAAAAAAAACTTTTAACTACAATGGCAACTTAATAAAATATTCAAAATTGAATAGCAAACATTTGGCAACATAAATATTCAAAATTATGGATTTTCCACACATTGTCAGTCTTGCTGTATTTTATTTAATGGCAAATGTCATTTTTTTCATTTTTATCCGTCTCCCAGTAACCCATCAATTAATAGAAATTAATAATGACGATGAAACATTGAAATTAACAGAGGTTGTTGATCAGGAGAGGATTATACAAATTGGCCAAGGTTTATACTAATTAAAAATAATGTTATTTATTTATAAAAATAGAATTTTTTTATAAAAATAGAATTTTTTTTCAATTACTCATTCTGGAAAATACTCTTCTTTAATTATTTCTGAAAAAAAGTTATTTAAAAAAAAAATTTCTTTAATTATTTCTAAAAATAAATTTCTTTTTAATTATTGTTTATTTATTAAACAGGTGAAGGATCGCAGACGTCAGAAAGTTAGCTAATTTAAAAAAGGTTAAAAATTTTCGCGCATGGAAAATATTTAATAAAAACAAACAGAAGGGGTGTTAAATTCTTCTAAAGTTATGCAATTAATAGTGGAGGAAAAGTTTAATTTTCTCCACGCAGTACAATTTTATAATAAAACAAAAAAATTTTTTATAAAAAATGAAAAAAATTTGTACAACTTTACAAATGAATTTTTAATTAAAAAAAAAATAAAGAAAATGGATTGCAAATGAAAAAATAGATGGTAATTTAATTATTTTGAATATTTATATAGAAATTAATTAAATTAATTAAGAGCATTAGAATTAGGGCCCTTAAGTAAATAAATAAAATAAATAAAATTATATGAAAAATAAAAAATTAATATATAGAAATATAATGAAATAAATTTGAAAAAATAAATTTTTCAAATTAAGGGAAAAAAAGAACAGATAATCATTCGAGGGAATTATTTTACCGACACAGCGAAAAAAATTTTACGATCAATATGTTTCGTGGTTACATCGTGTGAGGCAGCACTTATCAAATAATTGAAAATTTGAATTCTTCTACTAATAAACAAATTTGATTATACTTTTTTTTTTAATTAATTTGCATATCTACATTTTTTAAAATTTATATTCCTTTTTTTGAAAAATAAAAATTAAAAATTATTCTCTTTACAATATTTAAATTTTTATTTCTCTCGAAATTTACAATTAATAATATTAATCTTCGTATTCTTTTATTCATTCTGTGATTCATAATAAAATAACATTAGAAATTAGAAAATTTAAAAAAAATGATGATTAACAAATGAAAAATATACTTATTTTGTTTATTTTTATGCAAATTTTTTTTCTTTTTGTTTATAAAAAATAGAAAATTGTTAAAAAATTCTGATTTTTGAAATTGAAAATAAATACCCATTTTATGTATAATTTTTATTTCTCAATAACATTATCGATCAGAAATTCATTCTTTTATTTTGTAGAAAAAAAAATTACATATTCCCCTTTCTTAATATATTTTTATAGAAAATTTTCAATTTTATACAAAGGAAATAATTTGCATCATTTCTATTTCTTAATTACAATTTTCTTTGAATAAAAATTCAGTTTTTTATATAAATAAAGGAAAAAAAATGTTTATAAATTCTATTTGTCAATGACAAATTTTTATTTAAAATAACAATTTTTCAATTTTTATAGAAAATAAAGGAAAAAATTGTACCTAAAAAACATGTTCTGTTACATTTATTTACGAATTTCATATTCAATTATTATCTAAAATTTTAACTAAAACTCATTTTTAAATCAAATTTTTGTTAAAAATTTCTACAAGAATTCAATTATTTAAATACAAAAGAAAATTATTTATTGACTAATTAAATGTTTTTAGCTTAAAATTTAATTTTTATAAAAAATTTTATTACAAAATTTTTAAATAATTGAAATTCTTTTGACGAATTTTATTATTTATGAAAATAATTTAATTTTTGTCACTTAATTATTTTCATAAATAATAAATTTTTTTTAATAGGAATTCAATTATTATTTTCATAAAAAATAATTTAATGTTCTAGAAAATAATAATTGAATTAAAATGATGAAAATAATTTTGATGAAGTTACATTAACAATATATTCTTATAATATAAAATAATAATTTTATCTCTCGGTCATCTTTAATTATTAGAAAACATACTTTTATAAGTTTTTTAATTTAAAAAAGGTTTGAATTTGAAATTTTTGAATGTCTTAATTTCTGTGGAAAATACTGTTCAAAAAATAAGATTAAAAATAAGAATTTTGCAAATATTTTTCTTCTTTTTCTAAAACAAAATAATAATTTTATTAAAAAATTGTGATTCATAAACAAAAATAATGCAAAATAAATAAATTTTCTATTTCTTAATCACAGTTAATAATTTTCTAATTTTGCTTAGAAGTAAAGAACAAAAATCAAATTTCAATTTGACAAAACATAATATTTAACAAAATTTTAGTCTTTTAATGAAAAGAAGTGCAAAAAAATTCTGATCATTTCTATGTGTCATTACAATTTTGAATTAATTATAAAATAAAAATAATTATAACATAATAATATAATATACAATCTATTTTTTAGAAAATAAATTTGAATTAAAAATTTTTACGTCCAAATTGCAAAAAAAAAAATTTTTTTTAAGAAATTTAGAATCGACAAACTTCTCAATTTTCTGATGATTGATTTGGATAAAAAGTTTTTTGCGATATTATACATATAACGTCCAGCAAACAATGGACAATGGAATAATTCCTAATTACTCGCGCATACGGCGCCTTTGAACAAAACCTTTAGGACACAGAAGGACCAAAACTCGTCTGCTGCCTCTGACATTGATTGATACTCTCATTAATTTTGCAATCGTATAGTGCCAATTTCACACTCTCGTAAACGAATCATCACTCCATTCAAAAGTTGATCAAAAACTTTTTCCATTTCGAATTTTTCCTACTTTCTTATAAAAAACTTATTTTTTTTGTGTCAGTAGAAAAAGTACTTTTCATTCAAAATCAGAAATTCAGTTTTTTTCTTCTAACAATGAAAAAAATATTTTTCCTCCCAGGAGGAAAATTATTATTCTTGTTTATAGTAATTAGTACTATATGTAAAGATACCGAATTGTTCCATAAACGACAGTCTAGAGAGACTCTCATTAGGATCAATTAATACATTAATTCATATATTGAAATTGCATAACGCGACTCAATTAGTATATATGAATTGATAATAATAAATAATGTAATTTCTTGAATTTATTATTATGGGCAATTATTAATTCAATATTTATCCAGACAGTGAAATAATTAGTAAAAGAAATCGAATAGTAAAAAAGAAAAGTGGAAATAAAAATATATTTAAAGGTTTTAATATTCATCGACTGAGAGGTTTATTTTCTCCTGGTCGATGCTAATGTTCCGAAGAAACTTATAAATCTACAACCCCACTCTGTTTTAATTAGTAACGAAGTTTAATTTGCCGAGTAATCAACGAAATAGAAACTATAACAGGATAAAAGGATTTTCTGAAGTGCTCAAAACGAAACAAGTCCAATTTGCATTTTATATATTATTCATTTTCATCTGCGTGTATATAATAACTTGAATTAAATTATCCGCTCTTATTGGTAAATTTTAAATAATACCCCAACTGTCGAAATAAGGTCAGGAAAAAATTTTCACCCTTTTTGCTAATCTTGCTTTTTTCTTCTTTAAAAATTTTAATTTTTTAATTTTCAGGCCTCGCATTCATATCTACTGAAAACTACTATTTAATACTTTTTTTACGATATGCTATACTATTTGGATACTTTTTTTTTATTTGTTACATTAAAAGATACTTTTTTCCATGTTTGAAAATTTACACTATACTTTCAATTTGTTAACAGATGAAATAAAAAAATTATTTTAGAAAATTTTAATAAAGTTATTGGAAAAAATTCAAAAAAATTTAATAAAATTCTATTTAAAACAATTCAATTATTTTCACAAAGTTTTCGTAATTAAATGATAAATAATATGTACTATTATAATGAAAAAATTTCCAAAGAGAATTGAATAATTAAAAAAAAATGTTTCTAAAATTCTTTGCAAACATTTAATTATTTTAATAAATAAAAAAATTTTCACAGAAATTCAATTATTTAAAACAGAATTTTCCTAAAATTTTTCTTAAAAAATCAATTATTTAAATAGATTTATATAAAATTCTTCGAAAGAATTCAATTATTTTTATAAATAATAACATTCTTCTCAGGAATTTAATTATTTTAAATGAATTCCGCGAAAATTGCAACTATTCTTAAAAATTTTAATAAAATTCTTTGAAAGAATTCAATTATTAAAAAAAATTTTAATGAAATTCTTTATAATAATTGAATTGCTTTTAAATATAATTTTAATAAATTTTTTTGAAAGAATTCAATTATTTTCATAAATAATATACAATTTTCAGAGAAATTCAATTATTTAAACACATTGTTCCTAATATTTTTCAAAAAGATATCAATTATTAAAATAATTTTTTATAAAACTCTTCTCAGGAATTCAATTATTTTTAAAAATTTTAATAAAATTTTCTGAAAGAATTCAATTGTTTTCATAAATAATATTATACAATTTTAAGAGAAATTCAATTATTTTAAACACAATGTTCCTAATATTTTTTGAAAAAATATCAATTATTTAAATAAATTTTTATAAAATTATTCTCAGAAATTCAATTATTTAAAAAAATTTTTTTTTAATTTTTTGAAAGAATTCAATTGTTTTCATAAATAATATAGGTACAATTTTCAGAGAAATTGAATTATTTAAAACACAATTTTCCTAATATTTTTCGAAAAAAATCACTTATTTAAATAAATTTGTTCGGAGACAACAATTCAATTATTTTCATAAATAATAAAATTCATCACAGGATTTCAATTATTTTGAATATAATTTTTAATTCATTAATCGCTAAAAACGCAATTATTCTTAAAAATTTGAAAAAAATTCTTCGAAAAAATAATATAAAATAATTCAATTATTTTTGAAAAATTTTAATAATATTCGTTATAAGAATTCAATTATAATTATAAATATTAAAACTCATCGCAGGATTTCAATTATTTGTAATACAATTTTTTAATAAATTCTTGCTAAAAATGCAACTATTCTTTAAAATTTTAATAAAATTCAATTATTTTCATAAATAATATACAATTTTCAAAGAAATAAATTCAATTATTTAAAATACAATTATCATAATATTTTTTGAAAAAAATCATTTCTTAAAAAGGATTTTTATAAAATTCTTCTCAAGAATACAATTATTTTAAAGACTTTATTAAAATTCGGTGACAAAAATTTAATTATTTTCATAAATAATAAAATTAATCGCAGGAGTTCAATTATTTTTAATTTAATTTGAAATTAATTCCGCTAAAAAGCAATTATTTAAAAAAAATTTGAACAAAATTCTTCGAAAAAATTCAATTATTTAAAAAAAATTTAATAGAATGTAATTCTTAGAGTACAATAATTATTTTTAATTCA